ATACAAAAAATTGATTCATCGACATTGAGGTAGAAATGTGAATATCAAAATAGATCGTATATGTGTTTAAGATTCGGCTGACTACGTAAATAAGTATAGGGTCAGTTTCATGAAGACAAAAAATTTAGAGACATAGGGAAAGGGATATATATATATATATTTTTTTTTTACATCAAAGGACAAGAAGTATTGAAAGGGAAAATTCAGTGACTACAATTATGAGTCACAGTTACCGATGCTAGAAAAAAAAAAAAATAAATAAAATAAAAATGAAGAATGTTACAATAAAAAAGTTCAGAACAGTTATTTATAAAAATAATTAAGAAAGAAATACAGAGACAATAGTTATGAGGTAAAAAAAATTACTAATGTCTATCATAGAAAAACTTATTCAAAATAGAATCAAAAAAGTACGAAAAATTGCATGAAAAAACAAAGTAAGAAAGGAAAAACCCAATAAATATCTTGAACTTTGTATTTTCGTTGCAGATACAATACGAACACGTAATAAAATATTTCGAATTAGAGATGAAAATAAATTGAATTAAAATAACAAAGACTTGGAGAAAAAACGTAAAAATTGAGGATAATAGCTGATGTTAATAGAGATTTTAAATTAAACACATATTAATAAAATTAGATAAAATGAACTGCATGGATAACGACTTCCTTTTGCTTAATGCCAATACAAGTCTCCGATATTAAAGTTATATATTTTTGTGTAATTTTTATTTATTTACTTATTTATAACGAAAATTGGTGTTCAAATTTTTTTTGCAATACGTCATAATTTTTGTAACTTCAATTATTTATCCGCCGTATTTATTTATTAACTTTTTCATTGATTTTTTTTTTATTACAATAGCGTATTTTATTTCAAGTATTTTATTTTACAGTACTACGTGTTTGAGTATACACTTTTGAACGATTTGTGTTTGTGCTGTGCGGGGAAGAAGAATTGCATATTGTTGTTAAAAGTTGAGTATCTGTAATTTAAAGTACATTAGGCACATAGAAAATTTATTTTATCAAACTATGTCATGTCACGTNGATCAAAAACAAAAAGTTTTATCGAAAAAAGATAGATGGAAAAGTTGTCTTAAGCATATTATTTTATTTAGAGTTATAGGGCAATAAAAAATTTAAAAAAATTTGGTTTTTGCATTGAAAAACAAGCACTCAACTTGAAAAATGCAAAAATTAAAAAGTATTAAAAATTGATTTATAAAATCAGTTTCATTGCGAGATATGTTAATATTTTATAGGTATTGGTAATGTTCATCAAATTTCCTTGGTTCAGTGGACCACAAAACGGTTGGCCAGGCTCAAGTTCATGGAGATATGCTTGTTTTGTCCGACGTAACTTTTATTAGTAAAAAGTAATTATTGATTTATGTCCACCAACGCTGTTCAGCAACGCGCTGGCTGCTGTCACTGTTGAAATAAAACTGTTGAATCGTTGAGGGACCTAAGACTCAAGACCCTTGGCAAAGCTATATCATATTTTATTTCCAAACCATTGCTTCTCATGACACGTAAAATTTCAATGTATTTAACATGTTTACGTGTTTGCACATAAGTAATTTTAAACATATAAATTGTTATCGGTGCAAGCATATTATAATAGACTCTAATAATGATAATCAGATATTTTGTCATGTCAGTATGAATAGAAAAACTGTGATAGCTACTTTTTTATCATTACCGCTGTCTTAAATTATTTGATAAAATAAGAAGATGTACTTACAGCTATGTTGTTTTCATTTTTTTACCTATATGGCTTTATTACAATTATTGTATCCATGAATACATCTTATTTCGATAGTTAATACTGTTTGACGGGAAGTATAAAAGTTACACCTTTACGTGTGCATTCACGTGAATATGCAACACGCACTAGTACAGAAACTTTTTTGACAAGATTTACATATAATAACTCTTCAATACGTACCACGTTACTATCGCTAACAAAATACTTTTTGCAGTTTCGATGATACTGTCAATTTACTGACATTCACAGTGACACGTACATAACGATAAAAAAGTTACCAGTTGAGTCTACTGTAGGCCCTTAATATGTTATTTCGACTGATAAAATGATCCTAACAAAGAAGCGTCAGAAAACTCTCACGACAGCAAATCACAATTTAAACCATGTTTTTGAAGGTCACCAAAATAAGCTTGTTACTTAAGTGCTCATATCCTACTTTTATTTGCATAAAAGTCCAGATAATTCCGCTGCTGCCAGCAAAATTGACCAACTGAGGCCATCAATCCATGAATCTTTGATATGATTCAAACCTGTTTGTTCTGTTATCAAGACGCTTCGGACAGTTTTGTACGCATATCGAAGCAGAAAAGAAGAAGCTGTTTCATACAAGAAGTAGTGCTATCGTACTAAGAAAAAAAAAAAAAGATTGCATTGCGAGCAACGGTGCTGGAATACGAGAACGCAAGATTACGCGGTCAGGTGGTCGAGCTGTACGAGGAGTGTCAATCCTTGAGGCAGCTGTTGATCAAACAACGCATGCCTCCAGCCATAACGCAGCAGTCGGCAACAGCTGATCAATCGACTGTGTCTTCGACGGTGACGTTCACACCAGCAACGTTATCGTGTCAGGTCTGAAATGTATTGTACTTTAAGTGATGATATTAAAAGAAAGGATCATTTAAATTTTTATCATTGTTGGTGATTATATAACTGCGTGATTTTTGTTTTCTGCTGTTGATTAATATTTTTATCATGATACGCTTAAAAGACACAACATAAATCCTATTATTTTAATCACTTTTTGTTAACAGTGATTTATTGTTGACCTAGTCACAATGTTTAATTTTTAAATAATTATCTGTGATTTTTAAAGTAATTATATTCATCGATAAATTTTAAGATTTTTAAAAATATTTCAATGTCGTTTTACAAGGACTAGGTATAGTCTTTAAAGTATTTGAGAATGACATGTATTCTATAATGTGTAAGTGCCTTTTAAGTGATGTAGTAAAGATGATTATTAATGTTTATTGAAAACAATGTTAATATTTGTTAATAATATACATACCTGTGGAAAAGCCTTGTAGTAAAATTGTGCAATATTACCGATAAGATTTAATGTTGGATTGCTAAATAAACACAAATTCACCATAAATAATAATAGAATCGTCCAACATTTAAATACCAGTGACGCGTCTTTTATGAATATTTTTGTTGTTGTTAAATTTTAGTAATACTTGTACTGAATAGTATAACTCTCATGTATTATAAATGGCAAATAAAATAATTCCAATAAATGGCTTTATGTTAATAACAGTTAAAATTATTTTTTTTGTGATAATAAATTGGATTATCGGAAAACAAAGATAATAAATTGAATTAAAATAACAAAGACTTGGAGAAAAAACGTAAAAATTGAGGATAATAGCTGATGTTAATAGAGATTTTAAATTAAACACATATTAATAAAATTAGATAAAATGAACTGCATGGATAACGACTTCCTTTTGCTTAATGCCAATACAAGTCTCCGATATTAAAGTTATATATTTTTGTGTAATTTTTATTTATTTACTTATTTATAACGAAAATTGGTGTTCAAATTTTTTTTGCAATACGTCATAATTTTTGTAACTTCAATTATTTATCCGCCGTATTTATTTATTAACTTTTTCATTGATTTTTTTTTTATTACAATAGCGTATTTTATTTCAAGTATTTTATTTTACAGTACTACGTGTTTGAGTATACACTTTTGAACGATTTGTGTTTGTGCTGTGCGGGGAAGAAGAATTGCATATTGTTGTTAAAAGTTGAGTATCTGTAATTTAAAGTACATTAGGCACATAGAAAATTTATTTTATCAAACTATGTCATGTCACGTGGACTCTTTGATGATATATTATACCCAATGAATTATTTGCTTGTGACTTATCACACTCTTTCTACGGTGACTCTGACTTGCGTAGTCTTAAAAAATCTAAATCTTTTTTTTAACATCATCATTTAAACCAACTTTAAGTAGCAATCCCTTCAAAACACTGCTCAACTTGAACAAGTAGATAAATAGATTCGATATCAAAAAACACTTGTTTGGTCACAAATTAAACTATTCATTTTCTGGATCCAACTCGAGTTCAGATTAAATACTCTAGGGGCGCTAGAAGTTGTTTTACACCTCTAATTATGTGATGAATAAAGTCATTATTTCATTAAGATAATATTTTTAAATTATATATTCCTTAGAAATTCCTTATGTTATTTGAAAAAAGGAGTATGAAATGATAATTGCTAACACCTCATTCACGATACATTTTGAATGTTGAACACCACAAATAATTTATTTAGGCTCACTGTCCTTTCTACAGCATCTTGTATATTTTCTTCATGAAAATTGCAAGAATATAAATTTTTTCTAGTCTTATAAGATTAATTTACCTATCTGACTTTTAGAACTTGTTTATGTAATAAAATACATCATCTTTTTTTGCCACTTCTAGTGTTAGAACTCCGTATTTATAGAGAGCTAGGATTAGACTTTGGTTTAAATAGGTAAAAAAGTAAGTTACACCCCATGGCCTCGGTAGCGCAGTAGGCAGCGCGTAAGTCTCATAATCTTAAGGTCGTGAGTTCGATCCTCACCCGGGGCATNATCACTGTAATATTTTATATGCAATTTTATAAATAAAAGAACAACTTAATTTTTGGATTGGATAATTTAATAACCATTTAAATCTGTCAATTTACTTTCACTTTAAATATTCATTTATAGAAGTTTTGTTTATAACATTTATTGTAGAGAAGTGGAAAAGTTTTACTTTATTAATTTTGCCATTGATAAAAATTTGGTTAAAAAAAATATAGTGTATGTAAAAAAATTTTTTGTAATTAAATACATTATTTGAATAAAGAGCCCCTCGAGCGCATGATTGGAACTAAAATATGTTTGTTAATCTGTAAACAACAACAACAACAATAATAATAATAATAATATTTCATCTTGTAGATTCAGAAATAGTCCAACAATAAGTAGTGTATTTAACTAGTAAATAAAGGAGGAAAAAGGAGATTTTGTAGTTTCGTGAAAAATGACTCATCCCGGCCTAGCAGTAATGCTGGTGGTAGGAGTAGGCCTAGGAGCTGTTTTATATTATTTTTTTGCAAGCACGCCACATGAACAAAATCAGCAAAACAATCGCCAAAGAAATAGACAACATAGTTATGACTGGGCGCAACAGTCGAATGAGTAAGATATTTTTATAATTATTTTTCTATTAAAGGTGCTCTTCCTCGTCCGTTAAAAATTTTTTTTTATTCATTTAAAAATGGCTTCATATACATCACGAATGTAAAGTTTCTTTAATTTATTAGTAGTGAACTACAGTTCACTTATTATTACGATGTATTGCGAATATATGAACTTTCACGTGTATATCCTTTTCTAACACTAATTTTGCTATTGATAAATGTAAGTTCTATTCAAAGTTGCGAAAATAATTTTTTTACAGTAATTGCAATACGTAAACTGTACATATTTATATACTACGTTTGCCACAACTGAATGCAGATTGAAAAAATTTATAAATATTACGTAAACAACGAAGATGATTTAGTTTTTTTTTTTATATGCCAATCAATTTCTTGAATGACAAAATTATTCTAACACTTTATGTTGATGATTATTTCAATAAAAATCAAATTCCACGCTGTTTAAGAATAATGATTTAATATTATACAATCACGAGTACATTTAACGTTAATGTGTTGTGTGGATCTGCTGCGGACTTTTAGATATGCTCACACTACTATAAATAAAACAAAACTTGGCCATTGCTTTTTAAAGAACATTTGCGTACGTATTTACACGCGGATATATACGCACTAATTTTTACTTGTTTTAAATATCCATTGCAAAGCACATAAATGTTTATGTAAGGATGTGTTAAGACATAATTTTTGGGGATAAGTGGGGGGGATGACGTCTTCGGAGTAATTAGGAGTGTGCGGAAGTTGATTTTATCGAGTTGAAAACAGCTACTTTAAAACATTATCTAAATTTTTCACAGTATCTTAAAAAATATTGATAAAGGCAATCATACAGTTATCACAACTTTCTAATATTTTTCTATTACAATCAAAATATGAATTATTGCTATTTTTCTCTACACAACTTGACGTGAAACAAATTTTACGATTTTATAACATATCTATATAATTCTGTGTATACATTCATTATAAATTTCTTACTATCTATCAATCTTATTCTACTGTTTAGTTTTTAGTTCACATCAATTTTTTTTTTACGCTTCTTTAATTACGAATTTTTGACGCTAGGTTTTAGTTAAATGATAGATAGGTATCGTTTTGCATGAGTTTTCCTTTTAAAAGTATAAAAATATTTTTTTATTTGATCATTCGTTTATTAAATTAATGCACCGAGAGAAAAGAATAACAAAAATTATAGAGAAATTTTAGCAAAAATTACTATTCTGTACAGTATATTGAATGCAAGCTGGCATAAAAGGCAAAAATTATTATTTTCAACAGTAAATATTTTTTTTTCAACAGTTAAAATTATGGTTTAAAAAGTAAAAATTACAGATAGAAAAGTAAAAATTACCATGCTGGAACAGTAAATTTGAAAAGGATCGATTAATAAATTTTATTTTTCCGCACAGAAATTTTTACTTTTCGTACCATAATTTTAACTCTGTTAAAACAATAATTTATACTGTCAACTTTTCACTTTTTTGCCAGCTTGCATTCGATGTAATGTGCAGAATGGTAATATTTGCTGGAATTTCTCGATAATTTTTATTATTGTCTTCTCTTAGTATGAGTGATCAAACAGACCTTCCATCTTTCAAGACCACAAACTCATTATTCAAAAATAAAAATGAATTTACAAAAAATTTTATTGTACCCTTACAGATCACGTAACAGGAGACAAGATGAAAAATCTTGCATGATATGTCTAGAAGACACAAATAAAGATGATGCAGTTCGATTAGTTCCATGCAAGCACGCCTTCCACAAGACCTGCATTGAACAGTGGAGAGTTACTGGAGCTGGGGTAAATTGATTCAACTTTATTATTAATCTCGATTTGAATTTATATACAAACACATGTAAGCGTGTGCATGTATATACGTAGTTATGGTTAACATAACTATTGTGTCATGATAAAGGCATACGTTGAGAAATTAATTCACAACGAAATGTACATTACATTTTTTACATTTTTTTTCCAGCAAGCACGCAATCGTTGCCCAATATGCAGAGATATGATCGTGGGCTTAGAAGAGTTGTGATAAATGTTTAAAATACTCGTGATTAAAAATGACGACTAATTTTTTTACGTTTATTATTGCTAATTTCGAATTTTATTATTAATTCATCTCATTTCACAAACACTCACTTATCGTTAGTACTCGTGTAAAGGTTTGCATACTTTTGCCTTGTACATGACATTTTGCTATCCTTAAGTATAAAAAATACCATTCAATAACATACTGGTTAAATTTTTGGTTTTGCAATAATAACAATAATACTTATTTCATAATATCAACGATATTAATTGTTAAAGCAATAGTATATCTACGTATTGTAATTATTTGACAGCCTTAGACAATACTTGTACTTGACAATTTTTTGAAATGTGCACTTACTGATTTATACGCTGGTAGATGGATCTTTAATATCATCGAGGCTACTTGTAGAAAACTTTGTGATATTTATATTGTTTGTTCTTTTGTAAGGCTATGCGGATCGATTTGAAAAATCGCAAAAAATTATAGAATATTGTCTAATGTGGGTAGCGAAATCTTGTATAAGAATCATTAAAAAACTTTTTGCAACTGATAATTTAATGATGGGCTCTTATAGTTTTGAACAAAGTCCGTCTAAAGTAGTAAACTCCAAACAAACTAAAGGCTATGTTGAATTCATTGTCTTCTCTTTATTAGCGTATTGTTTTTTTATAGTACTTGAATATTGTGAATCGCAATAAACATTGTGTATTTGCTTGCTTTTTCATATTAAGAATGTTTACAAGATATAAACGTCACAGAATTTTTTTATACGTAAACAGCAAGACTACAATTTTTACGAAAATTTGTTGTACGATGCTGCTCAAACTGTATTTAACGAAAAAAAAAACACAATTAAATATTCACTTGTATCTCAAAATTTCGACCAAACTAAATTGAGGTTTCCGTTAAATTATCAATTTAATGAGCAAAAATAAATAATGAGAAACCCAACATTAGCGAATAAAATGTGAAATTCAAAACTGCCTTATCGATATGAACAGTCACGTTCTTGTTTCAATTTTGATTGGTGCTTAATTAGGCATTATGTCGTTTACAAACGACAACAGAACTTATTTATAATTATGATATATTTATAATTCAAATGAAATACTTTGAGCTGTGTAATTTGCGTTCAAAATACAAAAAATTTATATAATCGAATAAATTTTTATATAATAATTATTATGAATGTTTTTTTTATTTTACTTTTCATATTAACATTGAAAACGATTTTCTATATCAATCATCTAAAGTATCTACTAGAGCATAAAAAAAACAACAAGAAAGATACCCGAAACATGTTTCTTGTAGCTAGGGACTCTAATAAATTGGGGTATTATGTATTGTTTTATTTTTTTGACTCCTTAATGTAAAAATGACTTTAAAATATTGATGAGTAGTTTAAATTGAAAAGACGAAGTGAAAAAAAGTGATCGCAGCTCAACGGGTGAGATGGAGGAATTAAGTAAATTTTAATAGTACTATTGTAATGAATTACGTTCGAAAAAGTCTTGTATAATTTCTTCGTTCGGAATCTCCTCGTGTTACAGCCTCGTCCTTCTTTAAAATAAATTTTACTACCTCTTGAAATAAAAAAAAAATTTTCTTTCATGAGTGAAATTAACTTTTCTCGAAAAAAATTTTTTTTTTATTCCCTCCTTCAAACATCGCCTCCCCCCTCACTTATTAAATTCACATCCCACTATAGCAATTGCTATAAAAAAAGGAAGAGTTATTTTTTTGTTTTCTTTTTTTTCTATACATATAAATTTATAATAATACAAATAGTTACGATTACACTGATAATAGTAGTCACAACAGTAATAGTACTGATAATGATAAAACCACACTATAGTCCAAAAAAAGAAACAACAGCAGTTAAGTTGAACAAAAAATCTGTCAAATTATTCTAAAATTACAAGAAATCTGTCGAAAATCATCAAAACTCTGTTCTCAAGGTACTCCACTCCAACGAGCAATTCGTCATGGTATACGCGCATACCCACACGTAACCCTTGTTTCCGTCCAACAGAAAAAGATTCATGGTCCTGTAGCCTTACGAGGGTCGTGACGATGTGTAACTTTCTCGGGCAACTCCGTACGCGCATTCAATAGTTAATGCGAATACCATGCGACGATGGATTCCCTTTCGCTCTTCTGTTACGCCACGCGCATTGCTCGTACACATTGATACATCCTCACGTACGCGCGTTAATAACAAATTGCATCTGCTTAATAATTATTGGTCTACCTACGTAGGAGTGCTTTTACATAAGAAATAAGCGGAGAAGGGAGTTAATGATTTTTCTGCTTTTGGATTTTCGAAACCTGCAAATATCTTCCCTTCATCTACACGTGCATTTAAAGTTGCCGAGATGAGTATCAGATTTTTCGACAGAAGCGCGTAATTCATGGCTTTCATTTCTCTTGGTCCGCAAAAAAGGTGAAAGCTCTCCTTCCGTTTTTGTGTTCCAAAAAGATATAAAAATCTTCTCTCAAGATTTATTCAATAATTTTAAAAAATTTTTACTTCCCCCATGAGGAGGAGCCATAAATATATACTTGCAGACGAGGAATACTCGCAAGAGACTAGGGATGATATGATTTGTAGTGATCTTATCATTGATCTCGATTATTATCGACTAGTGGGTTTTACAAGCAGTAATGCCGGCAAGTTTACTTTAATGGTACAAAAATTTATTTTTCATTTCAAGTTTGCGATTTTATGCTTTTTAAATGAGTTACAAATCAAAGGATCGGCGTTTGTTATGGGGAACCGTTAGAACTGAGTGTTATAAGTATATAACAATTAGTTACGTATCCAGTTAAAACAAAAACTATTAATACAAAAAAATTTATTTTTATTTTTATTTTTAATTGAGATGCTCCATTTTCAGTATGTTTTTTATTTTTTGTAATAACTCATTTAAAAATGAAGTCTTATTTGGATAAACATTTAAAAAAAATAATAAATAAATATTTTTCAAGTGTACAGTGACGTCCTTCATGAAGATAATTCCTGAAAAAAAATCACGAGACCATTAACGAAACCGTTCGCCCATGATCAAAAAAAAAAAAAAATCAGTGTTGCATGCACATACACAACTACACACTGACATGGTAGGCAAAAGTAAAAGCCACTGCCTTAAGGCCCCCGTGCTCTCCTTTTAACTTTACCTTCTCACTTTCGCGAAATTCCTCGTTACACAACGCAGAGCCTTTAGGATCTCGTTATTATCAATAATAAATGGTACACAATAGACAAGTGCAATGACTTTTACTGAGATATTCCTTCTGTGTGCCTATAAAATTTTTTTTTTATGAGAATTGACGGCCATTACTTGAATTTTAGGTAAATACAGGACACAATAAATTGAAGGTCAATTGGTCGATTGCTTTAAATAGTAAAGGACGTGCCCATTACCTCTTCCACTATGGAATCATTGGAATCAAGTCGTGATGAGTTTAAACACATTTGTTTTTCCATCGTATTTTAACAGAAATTCGCACGAGTGAATTCTTCAACAGAATAGCCGGAATTATTACCATTTCATAACCTACTAGTTGTATATTCAAAAAGTTTACTACATTAAATTTTCAAACGATTCCCAGTAATTTTTTTCAAGATCTTTTGTTGACTTCTGATTGTGAGTTCCGGGGAGAAAACTTTGTTGTAAAATAACTAAAAATTGTTGAAAGAATCGGTTTTTCGTGCATAACGGAAGAAAATCGTTACTTTACCACAATTATGCACTTATTTTAACACCTGTGCCTTTTGGTTTTTTAAATATATTTCTCTTCAATACCTTTTTCATTATTCAGTAACCAAAATTGAACTGGAAATGATAAAAATAGTTGTACTGTTAATCTAATTACAGAACCATTATACAACTAAATAACGTTTTTAGGTATTTCAAACCATAACTTGTATTTCCTGAAAAATTTTTATATAAAAAAAATTCAGATCAACTTACATTAAAAAGTATTCAAAGGGTATGGGATACAATTTAATATCTTTACTACAATAAAAGTAAGAGTGAAAAATATTTTCCAACAATCAAATACGAATGTAATGAATTTTTAATGCAACACAATTTGATATAACGTCTTACATCCAATGAGAATATCGAAAACAATTTTTTGCGGTAATAAAAATTTACTTGACCAAAGATAGTAGATAAAATTAAAGAGCTTAAAAACACGTGATTATCGTTTCCTACAAAGACTTCCGCTATCTGAACTCTTTCCTAGCAATTGTAGCTGTAATAATAATAGAAGCAATAATTATAATTACAATTAATAAATAAATAAAGAAATAATGTGTTTATAATAAGCTAGTGCAACGGATTCAGTTACCTTGGAATTTTACGCAAAAGAAACGCAAAAGATACCAACCAACGGTTGATGGAGAAAACGCTCACTCACTTCCTCGGTGCAGAGAGGAGATCTCTGCTCCATTGCGGACGTCCTGAAAAGCAAAAAGGAGGTGGGAAAAGGAAGGGGACAATCGCTCCTCTGCATTTCACCGCGTATCTCATGCGGCACTACATATAAGTACTCCGTAAAACACATCCAGCCGAGGCATCGAGCATCAGAGAGCACGTATACTTTCCTTTTCGCCAACCCAACTGCATGTGTACCTACGACGACGTTACGCGCACTTCCGGATCTGCAATAGCCATAGATACCCGGTGTCTGTGTTTAGAAGGAAGGAAGGAAGGAAGACGAACAAAGAGCACTCGCGCACAGATTCGCTATTGCGATATATGCCATTGCGAGTGTACAACGCATGTAAGTGCATGTGAAACTAGCGCGTTGAATTAACGACTGTGTGCGTTATAATGTTGTGTGGTTTGGCCGTTATGCAATCGCCCCAATTATAGGCCGTTCGTCTGGTGGTCAGATTTCCTTGCTTTGTATTCTGTGTGCAATGTTTTGTATTAAATACGTGTATACGTAAGTGAGCACGCGAGGAAGTGGCAGAGTAAAAGTTAAGTGCCGAAGTAGTGCGCTTTGGTTTCCATATAGATTTTCTTGGTTTTTCCGTTGATTATTGAGCTCGAATTATTTGTCGATTTGGGTACGGTTGGAAATTTACGATTTAACTGGATTTTTTTTCGTTTTTCCCGTTACGTTGGGAGCTCTGAGAAACAGTTAACTCGATAAAGACATTTTTTGCAAAGTATAGTAGATTTTTTTTTTTTTTTTTTTAACAAAATTTGTTTCTATACTGCTGTATTATTACAAAGTTGCAAAACAAGTTTCAAATATACAACAACGAGAAAGTGTATTTAAAAAAAAAAAAAAAAAAATTAAAAAAAACTATTCTTGTTAAAACAAGTAGTGTTTGTCTCATAATTTCAGTATTTTTGGTGCCTGTGGATACAATTTTCAACCACGATTAAATTATCATTTTTTGGATTATCGTTTGGATGGATGATGAACGTAATATTTAAATTCAAAGCCAAAAAATCAAGGATGCATACAGAGAGTTATATTTAAATTAATTGATTAAACTGCAAGCCTATGGTTTGGAATGTCATTAGGAAAGAGTACTATATGACGTTTCACTATTTTGCAATCAAATTTCACTCGAACGCCATAACGGGACTGCGTGGATCAGATCGGTGGATTAGATGTACCGTGGCAGGATTTGTATTTTCTCTGCTGAGTGATAAGTGAGACTTTATTTTCATTTTCATGGCATTGTTCCAGATTACGTAAGGGTAAAACCGATTTTGTATTCGATTTTTCACTTCTTCGTTTTTATGACACTTTATTAATACTATAATTTTGAGAAATTTATTAACTTGGCAATTTGAAAATTGCTACACATATTCTCAAGGCATCAAGCAAAACTGTGATATTGAAAAAAATTGTCTCAGTTAAAAATTCATGATAGATTTTTGTTGATAGAAGTAATGATTGCACGGTGTATTTTTTGTTTTTTTTTTTTGTTTTTTTTTCTAGATGAATAAAAATATCTTTTGATACTTCAAAAAATTTGTGAACATTCATAGATCACTTAAGAAATACGCTTGCTTGATGTTTTATAAATTGATTGACTAACTATAATTTAATTACCAGTGGTTTGTTTGTAGACGTATTTGTACAAGGATATGAATTTTTCAATGCCACTCAAAAACATCGTTTGCAAAATTTTGGTTCCCTTAAAGCCACAATTTTTTGGAGACTTGGACATGTGTACTTACCAGACCGGGTCCCCATGGCGGAAGAGGTGTATACAAGAGGAAAAAAAGAAGGTGGCGGGAGATCGGCGGGTAATAGGAAAACTGGGCCTCGCGACCGGCGAAGGGGCCAGTAAGCCTCGGAGCGCTCGGCGTGCTACTACCGCTATCCATACCGTTGTAATTGTCGCGTGTACGTTAGTTTACTCGTCGAGTGTTGTGAGAAGAAATTTTTTTTTTTTTTCTTAATTAGTTCACACATTTTTCAAGCTCTTTTTTTTATCAGTATTTAATAATTGCTGTTTTTTAATCATCGCCATCGCACTAGTTTCAATTTTAACGCCGTTTTTTGCTCCGTCCACTAGTCATAATTCACGATAAGACCATTATCAATGGTTTGATTTGTTTTGTAAAAATTCTAAAAATAATAAACAAGGGAAGAACAAATTCTAAGACACAAAATCTCACTACTGTCTTGTATGAAGTATACATCAGTTGTTCAGTAAAAAAATGTTCATAATGGTAAGAAACCATTGACTTTAGATTTAAAAATAGAGTAAATTTTACCACCTTTTTAAATAGATTTGCACAAAAACTTCATTAAAAACCCATGTCGATATTAATTCAAAAAATCAGAATAATATATTAAAGTCACCACAACTTTTAATCGATAAATAATAATAATAATAAAAAAAAAAAAAATTGTAATCAACGCATGCTTCTTAATGTTGATACGAGCGTCGAAGCTCAATTAATCAACCACGTGAATTTGTTTTTGATCGATGTTGCATGTGTCTGTAACTCACTGCAGCTAACGTGCCATGAATCGTAAATTGAAATTAATGATCGATGCGTTTCGAGAAACTGAGAAAATTATCCTCGCCACGCATTTGTTAGAAATTGTTTGATAAAAAAAAAAAAATATTCACGAAACCTCGATCAATCATATTTTTAAGGTAATTAGATTGTAATTAATTGTTTTTGACACGCAGAGCCCAAAATCGTCGACGAGGTCGAATCGATGAAAAACAAAAAGAAAAAAGAAAAAAGAGGGGAAAAAATGTGAAGGGGCCGAGAGCGATGAGTTTTGGATGAACTTTCACACGACGTTTGGCAAGTGTGTGCCACTGGCGTGCAGGTGGTACGGGCTGCAGGCGATACCGGTTCAAAATGCCCGTGAAGAGGCTGCACGAGGATGATGCGTCGGCTGATGATGTTCCGCATCTTCCTGGCGATGTTTCTGGCTTGCGGTGCTACTTACGCCGACGAGGCACGAGGTCAGTTGCTTCAACCAGTTGCTATAACATACGTGTACACTTTCGGATTTTTTTATTTATTATTATTATTTTTTTTTTTTTTACTAGCAGCATATTCGGCTCAGAAAAAAAATTTGTCTCGAATCATGGAAATTGCTTAATTTTGATACGGATCAATGACTTCAAACAACCGAAAAATGCTTTTTTGTTTTGAAGCGTGAATTTCCGCTTGAAGTTCATTGCGATTAAAAAGATTTTATCTTCTATAAACGTTAGTTTGCTCGTCGAGTAGGGTATATAATTAAACAATCTCGAATAAGGAAGTAATTTAACTGTGGAAGTAGAACTAATTTGAATGAGGATTTTTTCGGTCACGCGCAAATGAAAGAGTTTATTTATGTTCAACTAGTACTAATAATGCATATCCGATCCAACGATGTAGCGTTACGTTCTCGCGACTTTACTTCAATTACGCGTTTGTATACGTTGTTACAGAGGCTTTAAAAGTGGAGTCGAAACACGTCTTACCTCTCATGTTTTAGCAAAACAAATTATACGTGCATTTGAACCTATTCATTAATATCATCGTAATTGTTCCGTAATGTAGTATTCCAACGAAAAAATTCTTGCAAATTATTGTCTCTTTGGAAAAAAATATTTTGGAAAATTGTATTTTTTTCGTAGAACCTGAAACTCGTGTATTAAGATTTTGAGCACAAAAACTAGCTTTCAAAGCATGAAACAATCATTTATACATATTTTTATGATAAATAATTTATTAAAAACGAGTTTCATCAGAAATTGTTTATTTATTATTATCATTATGCATATTTTATACGTATTATATGCATTGTAATTTTTTACCTTTTTAAACTGAAAAACATAACTGCCCTAAACATCCCTTCAGTGGCACAATTGGCGTACATAAACATCCTATTATTGCTCGTCACGGTAATTAGTTCCAAACGTAAAAAGTAGAATATCTATATACAAGAGAGAGAAAAAAATTGGCACAAAATTTACATAAATCACAGTTAAAATTCCGCGTACAATCAAAGTGCCTCGTAGCAATTTTTCGCGAAATCTCCACGGATGATCTTGGCTCTCCATTAACGAGCAAAAAATCATTTCAACGCCCACTCCAAACTTCAAGCCAAAAAGCATCAAAATCGAGATTCGCGGAAGAAAGAAATTATGGCGGGCTGTATCGGAGGAATCTTCAATTATTTCAACGGGATCGCAACGAGGGCCGAGATCAAGGAGATATAATTCTCTCGGGCGCGAGAAACACATTTAATCGACCGATAAATCGTGGGGAGCCTTTTTCGTGCACTTGAAAATCATCAAAAACCCATTACGCGCTGCAGATTGCACTTTCTAAAACATCCCGTATAAGGAGAGCCAAGGTATATACCTTACGCAACACGACGTTCCGTAACCACATAGTCATGCACATACATGTATGGGTTCAAGTTCAATGGTACTCTTTTGGTTTCGATGTGATCAAAGGGAGCCGGTACCCGTGAAAAAAAAATCTAGGACCCCGTCATCAAAGTGTAACGAGCAGTGCAGACGCGGAAACAGATAACGGTCCATCTCCGCCTATTGCTCGCCATACAATGCCGTAGTAGCGCGTTAGCACGTCTGTCCTAATGAGTTTGAAGAAGAACAGAGGTATAGAGCTGGCCCCGTTTACGGAGAAAAAAAAAACGAGTCCCTTACGAAATGTGTAATAGTAAGGCAGTGTCTTGGCTGTGAACTTGTCGATTGACGAGTGTTTTAGTTTTTAACGAATCTCATGAATATTTCTTTCAATTTGAGAGTATTCCTTGATATCTTGAGAACATTGTATCGATTTGCGAATTACGATAGAGCAACCCAATTCTTTGAATCAAAGAAAATTTCTTCACCCTCATTCCGTTGAATATTTTCTTTTAATTGAAACAAATTTAGTCGATCCAAAAGAAACATTTCGTACAACTAAATGAGAAATTCGTAATTAAAAAAAGAAAATTTTAATTTAATAAAATATTATTTTCAATTAACTTATATTTTTTTACTCATAAGAAAATATTTAACAGAATGAGGGTAAAGAAATTTTCTTTGATTCAAAGAATTGGGTTGCTCAGTGTACTTACTTTTGACGTTTGCTTCAATATTTTTTTCGTTATTTTCGACAACTATCACTGCATTAAATTAATTTTTCATGTAAATTGTTTGACTTTACGTATGAATTTTCATGCAAACGAAGACAAAGGCTATTTTTGCTATTTCCCATGATATAGTTATGTTAAAAATTTTAACTTGAACATTGTAAGAAAAAAAAAAAAAAAAATTGTTTATTTTTCAGTAAAAGGATTAATTCGAGATTGGTCTCCTCTAGTCTGGCTCGCTCCGGGCGAGCGTTTCCTTCCACTTGGGGTACCTGAATTTTTGGACAACGTCGAGGTCGACGACAATTACCTTCGCACGCGCCTGAGTTTGCGTAAGTTTCTCTCTCCTCTTACCAACACCCACACACACTCTCACGTGTACGAAAAATCTTCGAAACGCATTATACTCGGGTTATTTTACGTAAATTTTAGTAATTCCTACGTCCTTGTTGTATGATACAATACATTTAATGGTTTTATTTGGCAAGCACTTGGACACTTGAACTATACAATATTGTGTTTGAATGGTGTATGGAAATCGCAGGGACATTTTTTGTATTCATCAAAGAGTTTACCAAAAAAGTCAGAGAAAAATTCCAACCCAAGATTTAAGCCAACGTTATACCATCTCAATACTCGAAGTATCTCATTTTTCACGAAAAAACTCGTATACCACGACAAAAAAACCATCACCAAAGTTCCAAACGCACCAAAAAAAAAAAAAAAAAAAGCACCTTAAAATACACGATTTTACGTAAGCATGTGAATTGTGGCACAGGGGTCTTATGCCACCCTAATGACTGCGTCTATGTGACGAAGCCATCTAATTTATTAATAAGATAGTAAATAGGGAAACCGTAAAGCAAATACAAAGTACAAAATACAAAATGCGAGAAAGGTAACACTATGCTGCGGAAGCACAGGACAAACTTCTAAATTTAAGGGCAATAATTAAATAACTAAAATACGGAACTGCTTTACTATAAAAGAAACGGAATTAATTGTGAAAGCATTTACGTTAATTGACGAAGGATAGGACGGGTTTGGGTTAAACTAAATAAAAAAACACTATTTATCGAGCCACTTACCGGTATACCCATACGTATATATATATATACGTTTGGTCTGGTAAAGGTGTGCATCGCGAGCTGAAAGAAATCGCAAGCGAAAAAGTGGTTGTATAACACACTCGTGAAAATTTCGTTTTACGGTTATTGCGGACAGTATACATATACTACACGGTACACCTTATACGCGCACGCCTTTTTACCGAACGAAAAATCCACGCGCACCACTGTCAATTAATTTTGTTGCGCAAAAAATGAGGCTTTGCCGGTACACCACCACTTACATACACGCACTCAGGGATCGCGGTAAAGCTGTACCGATCCACTCACGAGGGGAGGAAAAGAAAAGTCGAATCTCTTAAAAACCATCGGCGAGAGCAAGTAACACACTTTGATTTCTCGCATCGCGCGACGATCCGTACAATAAATGGCCCACCCCGAGTGCTGGAAACCTACTTTGGCATTTCCATTGCAAAAGCTTTTTCGACGCGATACATACCGAATCCAAGTATAGGTACAAAGAGGCCCAACCATTGAACCACACGTGTAACAATCAATTGTGAATACGTACACTTGACTTATTTCCTCTCAAGCGCGTACATATAATAAACACACGAGCGTCGGGTCGTTTTTTTTTTTTTTTTTTTTTCCCGCGATCGACATCGGTTGAATGGAGCTTGTACCCATGTGTACCAACGCAGATACACTTACCTACATCGTGGGTGCGTTCCACTTCCGTCGTGTGTTGAAGAAGGAAAAAAAAAAAAAAAAAAATGAAGCAAGAAAGGTTCTTGTGACCTGTCTCCCCTAATAGACGATTGCCTTTCTTTTTCTCTTCTGTATGATTGTACATGCAGGTATACATTTGCGTTCGTAACACGGGGGGTACTTTGTTCCGTTGCGTGGCGATACCGATCCTGTACAAATAGTCTACGCGCGTGTCCTAGTCATCGAAGATCGCTCGCGTCAATGCGACATATTGTGCGGTACACGATGGCCGTACTTTCTTCTTCGAAAACTGGATCATCGGAGATAGCTACTCAACTGCCTGTACGTCGTACACTCGGCGCGTTTCGTTATGATACGTTTCCCACGTGCGGGGTATGTCGGGCACGTCCGAGAGCTCCCGTCCTGCTTCGCGGCGTTCGTTTGCTCGATTGATTTTACGGTGGCATTTCTGGTGCGCGTGTGAAGCGGCTGATTGGGTACCGGGTTCTTCTGTACTTACCGGGGACACGGGCGTTTTCACCAAGAGTCTCCGTTTCGGGGTTTTCTGTAGGGTTGAGGAGCCATTTTTTCAAAATAACCAACCTTCTAGGGCTCGTTGTTGTCGGGGGTATTATTCATAATGTGATTACTGGATTTTTAAAAAGAAATTTATCCTTTTTTGCCTGTAATATATGTACATACATATATTTATTTAAAGCACTTTATGTCGAAGGAAAGTGACAAGTTTTCAAGAAAAAGAAAAATAAAAAGGTCAAGGTACGCATGGGTGCTTAAAAACGCCTTGAATCTTGAAAGTTTATTCGCGGTATGGCTGGTACACGTGTCCATACAATTTTTTCACACTTGATTATTTTTACGAGAAATCGTTATTGAGGACAAGAAGGAACAGTTTATACCCGCACATATATACCTGATCATGCGAGTTCGTACATTTCTTCGAATCGAGGACATCCGCGCATCTTTATCCTCAACTTCTTATTGTTGGTGTTGATTGAAAAATATTTACCATTCGCCGGGAACAGCTATTGATAACACATACGAAAACTTTCTTCCGTAAAATATGTACTGACGCTAAAAGATGTATTTAACCGTGCATCAACGCTCAGTAGCACCAGGAACTGATGAACACGAGAATAACGTTACTGGATTTTAATCTCGGGGATGATGCCGTGAATAAATTTGTATAATTTGTCGGATTCGCGACACGACGTGGGTTTATTATTTTTAGAAAGTGCATAACCTGCATACATGTGCAGAAATAGTAAAATTTTTCTCATTTAAATTGTTTTTGGAAACGTGCTCATTACAAACAATCCTATAATATTTATAATTAATTTAATCAACTAACAACGTATAAATAACGTTGGCATGGTTCCTCATAAAATGACTGAACACACAATGTATGATGTTCATAAAATTGTAATTTTACATTTATTTAATTAGGCTAAAAATATCTCATGGAATTCTACAGTATAACTGTCAGTTTCACCCAGTGACCTGCTGATCCTTTAGGCAAAGGATACAATTTTACCGATCATACGAGCCTCTTTAAAATTAAAAGATGATCTTTAAACTCTTTTTAAATAAAAAAAATACAATACATATTTTTCTACATGAAACGCAGCTGAAATCGGTATCGTAAGAGAAAATCAACGGTACTACGCTAAATATCGTTTCACTGACCTTAATAGGGACGCAAACTCCGAGTCGGTCGAAACTTTTTGAGCGATGCTCGTTCCATTCGTTAAAGATAACCGATGCTCGGACCATTCGACATATAGGCGCTCATACACGTGTGTCCCGTATGATTAACGAGGTCACAGTACCAAATAAGGTCCGAAACCTACTGCATACAATCTACAACACACACCCATACACGGGTGTACGAGTTCACGGATGAGAAACCGAAAAATCGCGGCTCTGTACATTTCGATCGCGCGTTACACGTGTTTTCGGCTTTCGCCGTGTACTCCTTCCATTCTTTTTTTTCTTACCGATCTCACGAGTGTACATGCCAACCGTTTCCAAAATGAGTTCATTCGAGTATAAATGTACACATGTCCCCGCAACATATACGTACTCCAAATAAAGATCAGAGAACCTGAGCACACATGGCACGAAACGAGTGCAGACGCGAAAAATCGAAAGCACTCGATCGGTGAAAGCGATCGCTTATCGATCTCCTCTCGCGCGCTTGAAATGCATGCAATAGTAACGAGTGACGATGAATAATTTTCAGAATCGCTACTGCAAAACCGATCCTCATTCTTGCACGGCCGCAAGCCGGCCGGTAACGTGCCGATTTATGCGCTCGTTAAGAACTGCATGGCCGATCACTCACCGGCGACTGAGAGTTCCGCCACGAGTACGACGAAGGGCACCAAAAAACCTGATCTAATCGTCGAGGAGTTTCTGTTCAAACCCGTCGAGACGAATAATGTGCCTAGTGGTGGTGAGTGTGCCGATTTTTTTTTTCATTTTTTCAAGGTCATTGGAAGGATTTTGGAAGTCTTCCTTTTCGTTTTTACACGGCATTGAAGACATTAGGCTGATTCCAAATAACATCCAGGAACTTTTACTCGGACATTTTGTCTTTACGAAAAAATGGATTTGTGTATCTCTGTGCTTTTAAGTAACTGATCTTCGTATGTGTTAATGCATACAATGATGTATATTTATTATATTAATCCACCGTATTATCCAATTACTTAATCACACTAATCCAAGAAAATATACTATGCACTCATCCCAATTTGGTAATCAAGTAGACCAAGGGAAAATTTTCAAAGTAAATATTCGGTGGGTAAAATTGTTGAGGTTCTCCTTGACCCGTAAACTTACGATTTTTTTATTTTCTTTGGATTCCGCGGATGAAAGACTGAAATTAAAAATAATTGTTTAAAAAAGTTTCAGGCAGCAGCCTCGAGGTCTCCGATTACCCTGAAATCCACCGTCGTAGGAGACTCTCCCACGTGAATGGACCGGCTGTGGAGGTACCACCACCGGCAATGAGCGCACCACCGCCCAAAGCCCGATTATCACCCAAGCCCCACGACTTGGACGAGACTAAGCGCCGGAAGCTTAAGCTCCAACAGCAGCACAAACAAAAGCCGCAACGACCGCCGCTGCATTTTCACGTGACCTACTGGATGTTTTACCCGTACAGTGAAGGTAAAGCTGTCTGCGTGCTGGATCTTGGCTTCTTAGGCAGTTGGCCCATTCCAAATATCGGCGGCATGTGCCTTGGTGTATTGAAGGAGTACGGCAGTCACGTCGGCGATTGGGAACACGTTAGTTTGTACTTTAAGGTGGGTTTTTTTTTTTTTTTTTTTTTTTTTTTTTTTTATGATGTATGGTTTTTTGAGTCACGCTTCCAGCATGGGAGTAAAATATACTATTGGTTAAAAAAAAAAAAATTGTTTCAAACTTGACAAACTTCACTTCTAACTATGGAGTTTATAAAAAAATTGACGTAGCACTGACTGGATGAATTCAAAGAATTTAAAAAAAAAAAAAAAAAACTTGTGAGAATTCGTAACTCTGGAGATTATTTATAAATATTGACTAAAATTGAAAAATTGCAAAGTTACGTTAAACATTATTTTTTTGATCGATTTTCCACGTTATAAAAAATTTATTGTCATTTTAATAGAAAAAATCGTTTAAAAAATTCTTAATGCACATTTTGTGCTTTTTATACTTACTAGTTTTTTATTTTTGTAATTAATTTAAGCTGCGATTGTAATTTGTATCAAATTAGATAAAATGAAAATGAAAATCATACTTCGTATATTAAATTTAAAAAATGGCACTTTTTTCCTAAATCTAGATACAAAGAGCAGTAAAAAAAATTTTTTTTTCACTATATGAGGTTCTGTCGGAGCGTAAGAAGTGGCGAATCAAACATTAATAATAACACATCTTTTTTTGGAAGATTGTAATTATTTTTATGATAATAATTATGCCCGACAATAAAACTTGAAAATCTTGTCTTGCACAAAAGAATGTATCCTTAAATTTTCAACAGAACATAATTTATTAAAAATTATCTTTCACGCTCACTGTCTCGAATTAGCAAAAGAGAGTGATTTAAAGTCATTAAAAGCTCAATGTAATTGAAGTAAAAAAATTAAATGAAACGAGTAATCTTTGAAATAACTCTTCTTTAAAATCATACAAAAATGATTAAAGCAAAACCCCATTTGTAACCCTTCAGGGCAAAGACCATCCAGTGGCGATGTACGTATCGGCCCACGACGCCGGGGCGTTTTACCGGTACGAGGCCCTGAGCGGGACATTCGTCTACGAGTCCCAGGAGACGCGCAAGGGCGGCCTCTTCCAGAAGCCCACGTTTCCCGAGCGCGTGTTCACGTCCCAGGGCTCGCACCCGGTGCTGTTCAGCGCTAGGGGCTCGCACGGGCTGTGGACCGCCCCCGGCAAGCACAAGTTCGTCAGGCTGCCGAGGCTGTACGACGAGAGCGGCTTTGGCACGCCCTGGCCGACTTGGCGAAAGCTGGAGCTGCTCTGGGACTGGGAGAGCAACGCCATGCCCGGCTGGATGACCTTCACGGGCAAGTGGGGCAACCCCAAGAGCAACTGCCACCCGCTGGCGAGGTTTGGATTCAACATATGCGAGTTCGTCGACGGACCGACCGGAATACCAATGAAGAGAATGAACTTTAAGTGCTGAGGACGCTGTTATTTGGATATAATATAGTGAAGGCAAGTGGTGCGTATATATATGGATGATTTTTCGTTTCAAGTGAGGAAAAAGCACCAGTGATGATTGCCAGGGTTGTTGGATTACTTAGAGCTTGATCTGTAGTGGCATTGGATGGTTGAAAGTTTCTTTCTTGACTCGTTTTTCAAGATATTTGTCCCGAAATTTTTTGTTTGGGTCTTGTTGATGTGGGGGGAAAGCTCCGATTAAATGAGAGTAAATATAGCAATAATCTTTCTATTTGCATCGAAAACGGATATTTTATGGAATGTAGTTTTATAAATGTTTACGGTGAAAAAACATTTTCGTAAATCCAAATAAATTTATTAAAATCGGGTATTATTTTATTGAAATAAATTTTTTTTTTTTTTCATATTGCAATAAACATTTATTTGGATTGACGAAATTTTTTTTTAGTGTAAAATTTTATGTAGCCATACCGTTTTTATAGTACAATGTAATCAAACTCAGTGGCAATATAAAAACGATACGATAACTATACTAGAGTAAAAAAGACAAAGAGAGCTGACACACTTTGTGATTTTAGGTAGAAAAAGGCAGAAAATTATGACAACTGCTTTAAAACGATTTTTTAAAGAAAAAGTATAAGTGCAGATACTTAATACGTCATACATTTTAGTATGCTTTTAATTAACTTACTTTCTCAGAAACACACTTGTTACGTTTTTCACATCTAACGATATATGTATGTTAATATTTAAAGTATATTTGAAAAAAATATCAATAATCTTGCAATGGTATTAATTTATGTGCAATTGAATAAGCGTCTGATCAATAAAAGAGTTTAATTAATTTAGCGAGTGTTTTCCGTTCATATCTAGGTCATCGATCGGGGATATTAAAGAGAACAGGTATTGAAATTCTTTAATACTTTTCTTGATGAAAAAATAAAAGTTTCCTTACATGAATGCACTTTAAGCATTAGAAATATCATAACTCTTTTACAATTATTTTTCGTATGAATTTAGAAAAATATTTAATCAATATGCGTTGTTTTTTTTTATTTACGATGAATAGCTGTAAAATACTTTAGATTGTTATTGTTTGTGCTCTTGTTGTCAAATTACGTTGATTTTGCTTATGTCTTAAATTTTTATCAACGAAAAAAAAAATTTCGTTACTTTGACAAACATAAAAATTTTTTTTTAAAAAGAATTAGAACTTGAAGTAATTTTTCTTAATTATAGACAAAACCATGACTATTAATATTGTACGCAACAAAAAATATTATTAACTGTACAGGAAACAGCGTTGATATGTAAGTGACTGCAGTTTTTTCAAGAATTACCGAAACATGTATATTTTATAGGCCCTATTTTATCGTTCATGTTTAAACATTCATCATTTAAATGAAAAACAATACTTTGTAGATAAAAACGAATAATTTATATTTAATGTAAAAAATTATGTAATTGATCTGAAGTACGGATTTAAATTCAGTAATTTATGAAAAATTAAATATTTATTTGATTTATTTTACTATCGTTGTTGATTATACTTACAGTCACACACGAGAATCAAATCTTCACATATGTTCAAAAAAAAAAAAAAAGTAGAACCGAAAAAAAATATTGATGTAAAAGACAATAAAAAAAGCCCCACTTTGCATTAAATTTTGAATGAATGACTACTTATATATTTTTTTTCGTAATATTATAACACATATTAGTGAGAAAAAATTGTCGATTATTGCTCACAAGCATACCGTCGTATGCGTAAGTTTGGTTTTCAAACACAATCATCGATCTAAACCGACATAAACATTACATTAGCTAGGCATCATCTACAATGCGTATTTGTGATTGCATTTGATATAAAATGTTGTAATGAAAAATACAATCTTTTAAATCACAATTTTTACAACAAGTATTTTTATATACTGTAATAAGAAGCATTTTTTTATCCACACAATTTTTTTCGAAGTGAAAATGAAACCGTTAAATTTAATTGTAATCGCTTTAAAAAAAAAAAACATTAATAACGTCAATACATATAAAACAATTATATTGATTTAAGTTGCATTTTCAATTCAAAATTTTTGAGTGTACTCATATTTTTGTCACTTTTTCAAACCTACATTTTTTACTTCTCTCACTCGTATTACACAGTAATGGGTATTCAGGTGATGCATAATTTTTTTTTTTAATTTTTTTTATTTCTGTACAAGTTTTACATAATTTAAAAAATTACTGCCACAATGTTAATACTGTAAATTAACTTTCTTATGGACACTACATTACTAAATCTTCGAAAAATTTGGCCTTTTGTTGAAAGTAGAACATCCATATGCATGAGAGTAGGTACTTGTACTCTAATAGTGTTGGGCACCACGTATTTCAAAGAATAAATTAATCTATTTTAATACTGTATGATTTAAAATATGTACCTTTAAGTAAACACTGTGAGAAAGCGAGTACTTTAAGAGTCTAAGCTAAATTTTTTTACGACTCTACCAAAAACTCTTTGAGTACTGGCGAGCTCAACGTTATTAGTGTGCCGAATATGGATGCTCTGACTTGATTAAATATTTATCTTACTTATGAATACAATCTTAAAGGGAAGAAATTCGTCACGTTGTTTTAAGTGATAGAAATATTTAAGAATCCTTATAAACATTTCCGTTGTTTATACATTATGTATAAATCATATCTATCGTTCTAAATTCGTTACATACATATTTAAATATATTACTTCGTAGTAAATTCAGTGAGAGTAAGAGTGAAAAATTGAAATTTTCTTTTAAAAATCGCTTTGCGATTTTATAAATATTATGCATCTGATAAAATACCAGTTTCATGTAAATTTAAGGCATTGGAAAGAGTTTATTTATTGCCTATTGGCTTACGATTAAAGTTAAAAATCGATCCTTTTTTTATTTTGGGTTTTGTTACATAATCAAAATTCCAAATAGAAGAAATTTCCACCATATCATTTTAATTGCAGCCTCCGTTAAAATTGAATGTACATGGACATGGTTCTAATGTAATTTTATCAAGCACTATTTATTTAATTGTACCATATAAATGATTGAGGTTTCTCTTTTCTATCAAAATAAAATAGTAATCTTGTAAGCGTCGTATCTATTATTCTCAGTAGAAGTTTAATAAAAGTTTATTAACAGTAATATTAATTATAACAACTTATAACGAGAGTACGAAAATTCTGTACAATAATGTGATTGTTCACTATGATTGCTCTTTTTATTACACTAATTATAACATGGATATTTAAAGTACCCAAATAACAGCTTAGGTTTATTAAAAATATAGTTATTTATTTTCTTTAACTATATTATATTCTTTAAAATGAAACATCAATAATTTTACTTTGACCATTTTACTTTTGTAATAGGTTAAACAAATCGTCATTCTCTTACCATATTTTTCTCTAATAACTCGTCAGTTGCTTATACATTTAAGTGCGTGGTTGTTTTATTGACTATCAATCAAAAATTTATAAGGGGAGTTAAAAGAAAAAAAAATTGTGTTTATGAGAATTAGTTAGGATTTTTTAATAAAAATAATTTTTTTAGTTCTATACGTTTTTTTCGAATGTTTTTTCTACGTGATATTTCTAACATAATAAACATATAAACGTAACAGTTATATATGCTAAATTATATACATGTGAATTTTAACTAATATTTTCGAGGTCATAATTTTTCTTTCCGTTAATAAATACAAAGTTTCAAATAGTAACAGTCCACGCTTACACACCTCATCACATACGGTAATGCACTAGCTTATAAAAATAATGGCATAAAAAGTAGATATTAATACTGCCGTCCCAGGGAATAAAAGCCCAAGAGCCATTAAAATTTCTGGCAATTACGCTTTTTTCCTTGGGACGGCAGAATGATAGGCGTTGAATTTGTAACTTTTAAAAAACTAGGAGATATTCTTAATTAAAATATCATGCACGGACAAGTGTCGCTATACACGGAGTAGAACCCGTCTGCAAAATCACACAGTTTTTTTAGGCTTTCAAGGTTATTTCAGACAGCAGTTGGTTTTTTCGAAGATCAGTCGGAACTGTCTGCATCGGAGTCCTTATCGGAACCACCGCTGCTCTGGCCTTTTTTCGCGTGATGATCCTTTTTACCGACGTTACGGATACCATTGCGCAAAATTGGCGTGCCCTGGTCTTCGCCGAATACCCGAGCGTTCAGGTAGATTGTCAAAGGTGCACCTTTTACGCAGCACGTTATTTGGAACTCTTCCTTGAGAAAACGCTCCGTGTGCACGAATAGCTCAACTTTTAACCTGAAACGAGATTTTTGAAAGGTTATTTAATTATTTGCCGATCAGAACAATCCGGTAAATTCATCCGTGATGCAAATTTCATTTTTGAAAATTGTAGTGATGACAGTTTTCGCACCTAAGGTCATCTTTTTCTTTGGAACAGTCGACTATTCTACAATTCGCATTCTTTTTGCCAGTGGGTATGGCAGGCTCCGAAGATTCATCGTCCGGATGAACTACGCACTTATTCCACGGCACAGTAAACTCTATGTGATATCTGAAATTTGTAAAGGGCCAAGCTTATTTTAAATCATGTTTGCATGATGATTTTTTTTTTAAATATAATTCAAAAATCTCAATAAGTCCTGATTCAATACAAAAACAAAATCAAACTGGGATGAGAAATTACGTTATTTTTCGTATCCAAATAAACAATTGTTAAATTATAAATATTAGTTATTACAATTGTCATTGATATACTAACATATGATGTATCTGTAAAAAACCAAGATTGACGTTCAAGTGGCCGTGGCGCAACGGCTGGATAACGATATTGTTACAGCCAACACCACTGGCGCTACTGAAGTGTACATAATGCTCTGAAAAAGATAAACAAAAAGAGTCCTCGTTAAATTTTCTTTTTTCGAATATTAAAAAAAATAGCCTTTTCCTAGTCTGAGTTTCTATTTTCAATTTTTATTAAAAACCTTTTCGAAATCCAAAAAATTTGGATAGCAGAACGTGTAAATGTATATTACAAATATGAGATTACTCTCGTTCCATTTTGGAATAGTAAAAAAAAGAGCTTCTTAGTTGGTATTGTTTAAATATTAAGAAAACCATGTAGGTTTTCACGTAGACACCCCGTAACAATTATTCATGTTCAGTACAGAAACGTTATAACGATCTCTGTTTTCCGTTCGAATGAAAGGGAAAATATATCTCCTTCGGACTCGGCAACTAACATTAACCACGAGTGCCTCGCAACCTTCACTTACGTAATTCGCGCGCTTTATAATCGACCTCGCAAGTGTCAGTTGCCGCAAGAACGTCCAACAATCGCGATGCATGCGAATTTCCAACATGCACACACGAAAAACACAACATGTAAGAAGCAACACATGTCGAACGAAGCAGGTTTTTGTTCTTGAAGATCAACGAATCCAGTCAACTTGTCGAAGCACCCAGAAGAAAATCGCATTTTTGGAAAATCGAAAACAAGAATTGATTAAGTGTACATACATTAGAGCACATCATTTCCATGTAGGTCATGCTAATGGAGAGTGTAAGTAACTTAGCAGTGTAAAAATATCTTGGCCTTGTCGAATCATATGAATTTAATGCTACATTACCTACATTACATTGAGAGCAGGTCGATGGATTTTAATGATGTTCGGCAACGTGTACAAGGATTCATAGAACATAGTTTTTTAAATTCATACATCGGTATGAATTATTTATTGTAGGTGTGAAGGAACTGTAGATGTAAAATCTATTCATTTTGTAAATTGAACGAAACTCGGGAATTACCAAAATGAATTTAGACCATTAGCCAGCTATTTTTTGTATTATGCGTCGAAAAAAATGTCATGCCTTCGGTTTATGTCACATGAACTCTATCGATTGGTAAAAAATAAGCTATTGTCTTTGGACAGTTGTACAATGCATGTATCAACATATCAAAAATGATATATTCAATTTGTAAAAACTGAAGTGATGAGTTAACCACATATATAAAAAAAAACAGTCAAATTGCAGAAAAAATTATAGTTTTGACGCATCACTAGCAACGGTAGAAAAGAAACAACTCTCGCCTGGTAACTTTGTAACGCACAACTGCCACAATCATTCAATAAGTGATTAGCTGGAATTTTCCAATTCAAATCGTTTACTCCTTGATTGTTTAGCTCCTCTATTCTCGGCACAAATATTCATCTCCAAGTTCTACAACTATATTACCCACCTATGTACGTGGCCAAGCGACCGCGACCCTGATGGAGGCTATAGATATTATTACGGACCGTCTGGACGCGGTTGCACACATATGCTCACGTACAATGTCGCCAACGGCGCAGCGAATGAAATTACATCGCTATACATCCTGCATACGTACATAGCTATTAACACTATAGACTATAGTACGTATCCATGTACGAGTTTACCGAGCTAGGGGTAGGAGGCGTATACACCTAGCAATGGGTTCTAATACAAATTAATTTTTTTCATTTATTTAAAAGTCCTTTAAATTATAATTGTGTTTGTCTATTAGGCATTCTCACTGCGTGAATTCCGAGTTATAATTAATTTTGCCAATCACGGCAATATCACGCTTCCTGGAGTGGCTCTACTGGTGTTGCGGATTGATGTATCTAAAAATAAACGGAAAACGCACGTGTTATACTTAACTGGGGTCGAAATTAAACTCAACCGTAGATCCGATACGGAATCCACGTCACTTTTGCACACCAGTACATATGTTGCACGAAGACGAGAATACCTTGTCGCAGGTAAGTATTCAAAATCCCAAGTGAAAGAAGAAATTAAAGACGACAAACGTGTATTTTTTACAGAATATGTAGGATATGCATCTGAAGTAATCTGCTGATGCTGCTGGACCTCCTTGGCACGATTGTTCGATTTTTTTTTTTTTTTTTATTGCTGGCATTCGTGCATGCACGTATTGTACGCTCACCTTGAATTCTACAGTGACCAAAAAAAAATACCTAAATTGCTAAATATGTAATAAATAACTTGAACTGTGTACATGTACTTGTAAAAATATTAATCCGTTCGAGTACTTGTTAATGTAGAAAAGAAAAAAGTTGTTCCAAGGCATACAAAAACAATTTTTTACATCTACAGATCTTGTGAATAAAAAAAAAATAATTGGAAGAATCAATGTGGATCTTAGAATATACCTTTTTTTCATATTTTTCAAAGGTCATAAAAAGTTGTTCCAAAAAGCAATATCAAGTAATCGAAGAGAGTTTTAATTTTATTTATGCATGAAGATTTTTAAAAAAATCAGCATAAAAAATTATTGGCCTTTAAAGCTCAGGTAACTCCCGAAAATTTAACGAATTTCATCAAATTTTTCAGTTTTTGGGCTCTTTTGGATTACAACGTTTTATGCTGACCATCTTTTTTAATGTATATTTTTATCGTAAGTTATTCTAAAAGTAGTCATAGCTGATCAATTAAAAAAAAAAAAAAAAAAAATTAAACACGTGAAATAAGCTTGAAACACTTTTTTTAAGGTTTAAAAAAGGGCCATTTTTTCCTTTGAGTGTAGGAAATTTTTTTTTAATATCTGGACATCGAGGAATCGTTTATGGATATCTAGGTTTTTAAAAAGTAGGCTCAAGGTTTTGGTAATGTTTTAATGACAATTCCTCGAGTCCTAGTGAATTCCATACTATAAAAGTATTTTACGATTTTTACATCCTTGTCTTAGAGAAGAGACGACGTCGAGTGAAAAAAAGTGTATATATCATACATTATAAACGTCATAGAGTGTTGTCGTCGACAAATCGTTTCAACGGATGCAAAATTCATCGGATGTACGTACACGGTTGGTATATGCTCTCGAAAATGTAAAACTCTTCAAAGACTTCTCGGGAGCATGTCTTGGACTCGTTAAAAAGGAAGGAGGTGAACACCCACACACATGCACTCGTTGGATATGTATTATGCAGATGTAGAACGGCGTGCCTTCCTCTTTTAAGTTCACAATTGTTCTTAAAGAGTTCACTTAGAAGCTGCCACTGCTACACACCGTAACACATACCCACACAGCGCGAAAATGGCGCGTGACCTATTTTCGTCTTTATCCTTCTTCTTCTGTCGAGATTCGAGATTTTTCCGGTTAACAGTGTGTCGTTGCTACTTAGGAACATGTGGACAAGCCCTTTTAATTCGTCAGCTAAACTTTGGTATATCATTCTTTGAGAAATTTATAAAAAAATCAGAAAGGCTGAATTTTAATTGATGCGATTCGTAACGAGATAAAAAAGAAAATTAATCCGTGTTTCATCTCTGTAATAGGCTCTACACTTGAAAACAATTAACTTGATATCCAAGCTAGAATAACTCGCAAGTATGTAGTTGACTATCTCGAATTCACGTCATTAAGAATGAAACAAATTTTTTTTTTGCAGCTCTAAAACATTCGTAAATGCCCTTGTGGTCGTATGAAAAAAGTTTATGTGCTTTATTTTTCCATCAACGATTCGTGTAAAGATGACCTAGATATGCGACATGTTTCTTTTGTCGTGGAAAAACGAGAACAGATGCAGCTTGTTTACACCTACTTTTCCAACGAGACGGAGATCAGCTGAAAAGCTTGACTAATTTTTGATTTGATGACTGACACTATACTTAAACCATTTTTTTTATCATCTATGATTAAAATAATGAGATTTTTGTAAATGATAATATTTCATGTTTTAATTTCAGTTAGAAATTATTATGAAATTATAGCAAATTTGATAATATAAAGTATTGAAGAGATTCTAATATCTTAGACAAGAAATCCTAACTTTCTGTTTAAGTAAAATCGGACAAGAACCGATTAGTATAAAATTATACATGAAATGTGGTGAGATTCAGTAGAGATCGTCAAATTGTTAAGAAAAAAAAAAAATGACAGAACAAAAAAAATAGTAACATATATTAGACATACTTTCAGTTATGATTACGTATTACTAAGGTAAATCTAAGCCGTTCAAGCTGTTATTCAATTAGACTTCAGTTTCATGACGTGAGAAGGTCAAGAAAATTTTAAAGCTCATTACATACGTCCGCAACACTGTATAGTTATTTAAGAATAAATTTTTTAAATAAATCGCTTGACTATTTTCAGCATTTGGATATGATAACTGATAAACTTTCATCATTACGTACTAAAAAACTAATTTTTAAAGATTTAAATTATTAAATTTTTTTTTACTTTATTAAATAGTAAAAAGGTACCAAGTTTCGATAAAGAATACATTGTACTCGTGAGATAAAAGATTCTGAATAAAATAATATTTTTACGCAGTGCTAATTATAAATAATTACTTTTTTTACAATCAAACCCACGAAATACTGTTGTTTTTTTGACTTTATTAACAGTTTCGGTATAAAGAAGACATACTGCATCAACAGCATACTTGTAAAACCAAAATTACACATGGCTCGTATGATTTTAGACTCAGGCGCAAAATGATGCTCTTGATAAAGTCGTTTCATCCATTATTGCTAAAAAAAACTCTCTATCGCGTGTTTGTCCGAATGAAATCTTCTGATTTCCCCAAAGATTAGATTTCATAAATCCCCTAATAATTACCAGAGAGTTATTAAATTCGCATCACGTACTCTAACGATTCATTTGATGTTCACTTATAAGCGAGGCCTTATAACATCGCGTGGTGGTGCGTGAAATCGACCGAATCTATACACCGGCTCATACAAATTCTCCTGTATCCCCCTCCTTCAATAACCTGCACATTTATCTTTCACTGTTTGGCCCCTTCTCTCGTATTATATGTGCACTTGTTAGGTACAAATCCATGAAAAAGTTAGTTATATGTTCCAAATAATTGGTAAACTCCAAATAATGTCCGACTTTACTCAGAAACTATTTTTATCACTAAGAGAGCGTATCCTGCTTTTAGATATGATACTCAATTTATTCAACTACAAAAGTATGAAATTTCAAACTTATCTGTTAAAATTGAGTAAAATTATAATTATAACTCGATTGTTTTAAACAATGCTACCATTTTTTTTTCGTAATAGATTATTTGGAAGAAATCAACAGTTTATTTGGATAGATTGCAAAAGTTTTAAAGTAAGTACTTTAGAGGATTATCATTTACTGGTTACTATATATAAGGGATTTTAATAATGTGTTGCAAATTCTAGATTGTGATCTCCAATAATTTACTTGGATATCCTTATCCCTCTATGGACCTGAGTCCTTACAAGTTAATTCGGACCACTAAATGGCTGCATACAATTTTCAAATTTTTAATTGCAAGAAAGATACACCATTCAAGTTGTACAAAATAAACATCCCTTAGTGAAACTATTACTTTGAAGTTAACCAAATGTTTTAAAAATTAAAAGTAAGATTTTTCATGGATCTACGCCTATGCAAATGCATATCGTAACAATAAGCGTGCGCAAATCAGCTGCTGTAGTTTCTCCCGTTCTGCGCGGGTTATTTTCACATGAGAAATCGTTTTTTTACAGACTGACTTGTACCAAGCAAGATGTTGAGAAAAAAAAAAAAAGAAAGATATGTTGTCATTTTTATTTAAATGGATTCAGGTATTGTGGTAATTGTTTAGTCATTTTTCAAGAAGTGATGTCGAACAGAACTGATGATTATAGTAACACACTTGTAGAGATGATAACACCAACAACTTAACCTCACTCTCTCCTGTACATACACTGATTGAATCACTTTTTTTAAAACAAGCAAATTTCTTACGTGGCACTAGGTTTTTCCACACATAGCATTATCTTCGAACACGGTTAAAATGTTACTAAATAAAAAATAAAAAAACATTTATCTAACCGTTTTCTTTAAAAAAACTATGAAAAACAACTATCACAACGAGAACAAAAAAAGAAAGAATGTACTACTTCGTTAACATCCAAGTACCTTTATCCCCCATACTGGGCGACCGTGGCAGTAGGTGTCAGAAGCCCCCAGATCGTGTGCTGATTTGCAATCAGTACTTAGCATGCTACGACACCCCACGAGCGACTTTTCGTCGAGCACTTATCCGCGGAAAAACACAGCCGTCGTTGGAGATCCTCATCTGTCGGTGTCCACGCGCCCGACTACGTGGTATGACTATTCCGTTGGTCAGCACCGACACATACTGGGTACTGGGTTTCGTTTCTCTCCAACAGTCCACACACTCCACTCATTCTATACTTTGTTTGGTGCAGTAGAAGCCCACGCGCACGCTCGAGCATGACCGTACGTGTTTTGTTTCGTAAGAATGCGGGGTTGGTGTAGAGGTGTGCTTAGGGTTGTGTTAGAGAAGAGCGACTTTTGAGAAATAGGGGGGGAGGGGGTGTAGGTAATTGAGGGTGAGTGAACGTGAACGGTCCCGGGACTTTTCGTGACGACTGGTTCGAAAATTTCTATTGATTAAAAAAAAAAACAACAACTTTTCTCGAGAGAAGAACTTTGGTGCTGTAATTAGGTTTTGAAGTATAAAATAAAGGAATTTAGCAATCGAGAATAGTTATTTACATGTTACTCGTTCTTACAGGTAAATTTCTGATCTATTCTTTACTTGATTAAAAAAAAAAATATAATCATGACGTCATCAATGTAGGTAATTACGCATCACTTTTTCGATTTTTGTAAAAATAATTTGTATTCGTCGAGCAGAAATAAAACACCAGATTGGTTATTTGTTCATAGACTTGAGTTTTTCAATGCATATAATTAAAAATCATATAATAAAGATAAATAAGAACGAGATGTCACAGTTGGAACTTGAAACATCTAAGCTTCTTTAAATATGTTATGACAGTAGGTAAATGTATTTTCGTAAGTTTCATCCAACGCTCCCGTACATCCAAATCCACCCAGATGATGAATGCGGGCGTAATCGTTGCAATCGATTGTTCCGTCACCGTTGCAGTCCTGAAAGAAATAAAAGGAAGCAATTAAAATTTTTTTATAATAATAGGCAGCAAAGAGAAGCACTATGGCACTTTTATAAACCTCATCCCTATTACGTACACGCCATGATCCAAGTTACGTACTAAGGGGCAGCAGACTCGCTTATGAAATTTCGCTACCCACGTGTACCCGCGCATATACGGACACGAGGGGAGGGGGTGACGAGTCGCAAACTCAATTGAAATAGTTGCTAAATTAACGCCGACCTCGAGCGGGAGCGAGCTTTTCCACGCTCGGCCGCGTGGGAATTTGGCAAATATTGAACGCGCCTTCTTCTCGAGTTTATTTTTAAACCCCCCCCATAAT